GGGTGAAGAGCGATAAATAGCCACCGGGGGTTTCGCGCATCACCACCGACAAGGAATGCGGAAAGGGTACCTTGACTTTGGATGAGAGTTGAAGTTGGCGCGCAAAACGAATGTCACGACGAACCACCTCCGGTTGCTGCAAGGGACGAAACAGAGTTAAAAAGGAAATTTATACGAGTACTTCATAAATAGACAATTTGCTACTTACCAAGTGTCTATAGGAAGCCAGTTGGCCTTCGAGTGCAAAACGATCTGTGGCATGATCGGTAAAACCGATTTGTTTGGCCAATTCGCAGAGGCAACGTCTGCATGTGAATTCGAAATTGCATAAGTTTAAAGTTTTATGTTATTAACTGATTTTAGTAATTTGTTTGCTTTGCATGTGAGGTGATAAGTATAACACTGATGTCAAATTAGGCATTGGAACATGTAAATATGCATGAACTATGTGAGCATATGTGCCTATTGAGATTTTATAATGAAAATTGCTTAAAAATGAAAAATACAGCCATGTGTAGAATATTAAGACCACCTGGCAAAATCCGGATGGCAGGCTTTGAGGTAGCAGAACAAACAATATTGTGAAAATATTTAAAATAAAATTGTTGCAGTTGTTAAAATTACAGTTGTCGCTTTAATAGCTGTGTGTTGGGGGAAATCGTTCTTGTGATCTTAATATTTTGCACACGACTGTAATTTTCTAAAATACAAAATAGGTAAAATGTAAATTTTTGTAAAGATTTGCAAATACACAAACATTTAGGTAATCGATGAATGTAGTAATACGAAGCTATGATCACAAATGGATTATGTATGAGGATATAATGTATATGTATGTATATATGGGGTATATAAGAGCAGTGAAACCTCAATATAACGAGGTTGAAATGCTTCGTTATGTCTATAGTTTCCTTATATTTATAGAATATCAAAATTTCGATACAAAGAAAAATGAAAAATTTTGGAAAAAAACGTTATTTTAGAAGCCGCGTGGTCTAGAAAAACATAACAAACACTGTTGGTAATATGGAGCAAAATGAAAACCTGTCCAAATCCACAATAAAATCTTCATTTTGTTAACTTTAGTCCTAAAACTGCCAGACCCATTTCTAGGGGTTTGTCGTCTTAGACAAAAATATTTTTACCGATTGGGTATTCTACCGGAATCCGCAATAAAATTTTATTTTTTGCAAAAACAAAATTTTTGACAATTTGCTAAGTGTAGTTTCGTTTTTTTTTATAACGGGGACTTTAATGTCAACATATTCAGACTTCAAGACTTCGTTATATACATGCTTTTGCTAATCGGATTCGAACCGTCAATATATTCAGAATTCGTTATGTAGAGGCTTTTGAGTCGCAGTTCGTTACATTGAGGTTCTTGCTAACGGGACTTTAACCATCAATAAATTCAGAAGGTTTNTTCAGGGGACAGTAAAATATTTTCATATATTGAATAAATCGTTTTATGAAGGTTTGTTATATCGAGGTTTCACTGTACAACATATGACAAAAAAAAAATACTTCAAGTATATACTACATATACAAGCGACGTTAGCTAAAATAAATAACACTTAAAAGAAATCCGTATTAAAGACAGTTTGGAAATTTCTATAATCAGACAATAAAAGAGCTAGAAAACGAGGTTTTCTTTCTTTCGCCTACGAGATTCAGGTACAAGATTAATGCATGTCACGCGCTCTGGCATTCAAACCTGGGTAACGACCAGCAAGACCCACCAGACTGAAGAGTAAATGATGCAGCTCGCTAGTCACGTTCATAACGAGCGCGAACATTAATAAATTGCACCTGAAAGGGGCGATCGGACATCTCCCTACGCTCCTCTCCCCATGGATAAGTGATTCCAAGCACTACTCCCCCGCCTCACTTACAAATCACTTATGTACGTCTGGTCTAACATCGACATGGGTTCAGAAAAATTCACCAACACCGTTCTAAACGCCATCACCGCTCAAATAACAAACGACCTCAATCAGAAGCGCCCTTTATGCTCTCTTGACCCGTCCAATGTTTTCGACACAGTCCACCAAGCCATGGAAACATCGTCTCATCGACAGTACACATCATCACGAAGTAATGGGTGTCAAACTATATAGTTGTGGAGCAGGAAGTCATCGGTGCCATTCAGGGGTAAAACATTTAAACCTTATTCACCAGCTAGACGAAATAGGTTAGGCTGAAGTGGATATAGAGGAAGTCGATGGCACAAAAATGTCGACGCGGACATTGTGCAAGTAAGACGCCCTCCACCTTATTCTCTCGTTTAAATCGGACCTCTACGTGACACAAGAGTCACGCTGCCCCAACTACGATCCGGTAGATAAAGTAGGCTCAATTCGGACATAGCCTCAAGAGAAACCGCGCGCGTCTTAGGGCCAAAGCTGCAAGAGTCGGATGGAGAAGATGACTAAACAGCTTAGCGCTCAAGGAACCAACTAAGGCAATAGTAGATAGGGTAATTGCAAAAGCTTTGCCACAGAGAATTTCGTTGAAAAAAAGACAAGGGAACAAGACCATTTCAGAGGTACGAATTTCTGCTTCGGCTTTTGAGATCAAAAATTATAAGATGCTACTAGTAGAAGTAGCGACGAATGAGATAAGTGTTGGAGATAATTGTTGCTGTTGTTGTTGTAGCGGCTACAACAACCCCGCCCAGAACGGTTGGTATCTCAGTCGTTGTCGTCAAGTTCCACTAACGGCAACCCTAGGAAGCGTGCAGCTTCTGTGGGGTTGGTCCACAGGGACAAGGCCGTTAGGGTTGTCGGGTTTTCCGGGCATGCGAAGAGATGTTTCGAGTCTTGTGGGATCTCTCCGCATGCCGGACACTCATTCGGCACATCCTCATTCAATCTACTCAGGTAGGAGTTTAACCTGCTGCAGTAGCCGGAGCGAAGTTGTGCTAGTGTTGTACGCGTCTCCCGAGGCAGATGAAGCTCCGTCTCGTCTGTGTACGGGGGCGGTATGCCTAGAACGGCATTCACAGGTCTGGAGTCTACATAACTCGAGACTGACTCCCTGCGAATGCCGTTCAGGGCAGTCGGGTCCAGAGGTTGCTTGATGAACCTCTGGACTTCGTCCGTCAGTTCATATAGATGCCTCCTGACGTGCCTAGGCGAGGGCTCCTCTGCAAGCAGCTGTCTGTTTGGGTGGCCACTTCTGTGGCTCCCGATCAGGAACTGCTTGCAGAGCATTATATTGTGCTCCTTTACGGGGAGCATTTGCGCCTCGCCGTGAAGATGGTGTTCGGGCGACATCAGAAGGCATCCTGTCGCTGTCCTGAGTGCGGTGGAGATAATTGTTCTATATTGCTGATGACATCTCGACAGCACTTATGTACGTGGCCAAGAAAACATGCAGCGATAGTGTGATTAGGTGGACAAAATTTTTCTAGCTGGAGGATCAAAAAAATTACACCTGATGAAATACTATTGCAAGGAAGAGTGGTTAATCCAGAGATAATTTAGGTAGGCCTTCTTAAGTGAAGCCATTCTAAAAGACCTACCCAAGAAGGGTTGAACAAAGTGCTTCCCAGCATGCCTTCTAGAAGTGGTTTTTCTTCTGTTTACAATTTACGCTTATGTGTAATAAAGTGGTCCAAAAATGCATGTAAAAAAATAAGGTCGCATTTTTAATGCCGCCAGCCCCTAGGAGTGTTCTATACCAAAAAAAATATACCCCTGTTTTTTTATTTAAAAAAAAAAATTAGGTGTGCTCAAAGCGCTCAATGTTTTCAATGTATTTTATATGGGGGAAAAACAACTTTTCGTAGAAATAGTGTAGAATTCTTGAAAATCAATATTTTTCGATCGGATAACTTTGCTTATCTTCAGGAGATTCTCGGTAATAATACCCAATTGTTTCTTTAACAATTTTTTCATGGTAACTATATTTTATAGGTCCTAGAAAATGCAATGGGGGACCATTAAAAAATCTTTAATCATAAAAAATTGTTAAATAAACAATTGGATATTAATATTTGAAGTCTCCTGAAGAGAACCACAGTTTTACGATTGAAAAATATTGATTTTCAAGAGTTTTATACCATTTTTACGAAAATTTGTTTTTTTCCCCATATAAAATACATGGAAAATTTTGAGCGTTGTGAGCACTCCCTAAATATTTTTTGATATCAAAATAAAAAAATAGGGGTATATTTATTTTCGGTTCAGAACAATCCTAGGGGGTGGCGGCATTAAAATTCCGACTTTATTATTTTGGACCACTCTAATGTGTAATTTTATATTTTTAACATTATAAACGAATTTACATAAATATTCATTTTCCAATTTTTTAATAAAACATATTTGATATGAACCTTAAATAATGTATGTATTTACACCTTAAAGAAGTATGATTTTTATGAATTAAAGATGCGGCTACAACAACCCCGACCAGATAGGTTAGTCCCTCAATGGAAGCGGAAGACCCAGGAAGCGTGCAGCCTCGATGGGATCTGTCCATAGGGACAGGGACGTTAGCTGAGTGGAGCTTTTGGGGCATGCGAAGAGTTGCCGTGAGCTATGTGGCGACTCTCCGCATGCCGGGCATTGGTTGGGCACATCCTCGTTTATTCTGCTCAGGCATGAGTTTATCCTACTGCAATAGCCAGAGCGAAGTTGGGCTATTGTGGTGCGGGTCTCCCGAGGCAGACAAAGTTTTTTCCTTTACAGGTCAGGTGGTTGTGTGCCCAGAACGGCATTCAAACATTCATTCTGCACGAAAGACTGAAACGTTCATGAACCAACTAACTGGATCATATCAATGCGGCTTGAAACCTGCCAAAGCCACCATTAGGCAGAAAAGGAGCTGCCTTTAGACGCAATGGCGCGGCGCGATTTTCTAATTAGGGAACGCAGCAAAATTTAGTGTGACGTTGAACTCAATTTTGAGCTCGGAATGGCCGCAATAGATAGCTTGGTGCAGTGCAGCATTTGCCAGCATAAAGAAAGAGACAAAAATAAATTGGTCTAGGTAGATATAAGAAGTATATATTAACTGTTAAGTAGACGCCCAAGTATCCTCTCCCTACTTAATTGGAAACAAAGAGTGTTCGGAAATCGAATTAGTAAACTAAATTTAGTCTCGATGGGAAAGCAAAGGATGTGTCTCAGTAGTGGAACATTTTCACAAACGATTCGGTGAGTTTTAGAATGTTAAAAATAGATTTTTAATAATCGTGCTCAATTTTTTAAACATACGAAGGACTTTTAACTTATTTTACTAATTTGTATGAATCGGTTATTTTTGTTTTAGCTGTAACCTGATTTATATTAATCCTTATAATTTGATTAAAATTTAAATATATTTTAATATAAACGTTTTCTCCTAGCTGCCAAACTGTTCAACAAATTTACGTGTGTAATTTTATATTTCGGGAAAAACTCTTTCATTCAGATACTGATGCCGAAACTCAGCAAAATTACATAAAAGAGCAAACTTCAGTAACACAATTAAATATTTGAAAAAAGTATGTAGTATCGAAATTGATAGAAATGAAACTACGAGATATTTATAATTAAACATAAAATTGAGTAAAACACACAAAATGTTAAAATGATTAATGCAATTATTTACGCCAATTAGGTGTTACAACATGTTAGGACAACATAAACTGTGCAATTTTATAATTTTGAAAAATTTACATGCTGTAAGCTCTAAAACAAAAACTTCTAAAAGCAAATATGATTAAGTAAGTAAGAGGAAAATGATGTTATATTTAGTGCAATTAAACCAGTAGTCTTATTTTAGTATTTAAGGCTTCAGCATAGCCTTTTGAATGAGTACACAAGTTTTTTCGTTAATAAAAGCAAGGTAAAATATAGAAAATTTATATTTCAACTACGTGTAATACAAAACTTTAAAAGCGGCATTATTGAAAACCAACATTTTCGGTAATCGATTTATTTGTTGTTGTTTTTTGGGAAAGTGCGTCAGTGTAGTGCTGTAGAAAATAGCTTCGCATCTTACAGGAATTTCAACAAATGTCGCTATTTCAAAATCATTTAGCGCATCAATCCGTTTTTTTATGCTTTGTAAAGGCGTACGTAGCACGATTTCTGTTTAGATAGCCTTATTAAAATGTGCATTTAAAAAAATACTTTTTTGTTTTGAATAATTTGGAATTTGCATGACTTAAATTTCTTGATTGGTATACAACGGGTAATCTAAATTTCTCGCTTAATATTTGTGCAAAATACAAAAACCTAGTTGTATTGGAACAAAAATTTGGATACAGAAAAGAGTATAGAAGATAAATCATTTACATTTGTAGATAAATATTGTTGAAAAGTAAAACCAATTACATATTCAACCAAAAGAAAGGGGCAAGCTTCGAAAATGAACTACGTACCCATGCAAAAAGCTAGTCAAACTGGAGTCAACGATGGCATACCGATTTGTGACAGGCACTAAATCTTTATCCAGCATCGCCACAGCGGTCACATGCCCACAGAATTGCGCGTAATGTGCATGTGTCAATGGTGAACAGGTGTTCAGTAGTATGGCGAGACCTGAAAATTACATTTAATTTCATAAATAAAGTCTTGTGGATTTGACTATTCTTAGAAATTTGTATTCACCTAAGGGCTTAAGCGATTTAATATGCGCTTTCCATTCATGATCGTCAAATTCCAAACGGAAAGGACAGTGCTGATCGTGTGTAAGATCAAGCACTTCGGCTACAATGCCACCATCCTTACTTTCTGCCTGACTTGTTCGGTTGCTCTCCGTGTTCAGTGTTGAACAACTAGTACTTCGCTCATCCAAGCGCTCATCTTCCGTTTCATGTAAGAAGAAAACCTTCTCGGCTGTCGGATTTGGCCATGAAAGTATGCCTTTCTTGTCTATACAACAGAGTGCCGTGATGGAACCCAAAACCTGAACTAAATTCGATGAGCGAGGTAGTAACTCACTTTCACCATTCCATAGTTGCCACCAATTGCGGAAGACATTTGAACGTAGCAGCGAAATATTATCATAGTCAAAGGTTGGACTGTCCAAATCTTCTTCGAATGATTTTTCGGAGTCTTTGGTGATAAGAACTTGTGGTATTCTGAGAAAGCACTGCAATCTTGCGACTCCCCACAAATTCATTGATATCCACATGATGGGGAAGATGAGTGGAAGTAGTGGTATCACGGCGGCTGCGGGTGTCTCTAGGAAAACGTATTTCCAGTAATGTTGCTCATCGGGATGCCTACCCGCACTAGGCGAACTGCTTAAACCATTTATGCGCAATAGACCGGCGAAAAGTGTCAGACATAGGGCACATATGAATCCCCATTGTTGGATGTACTTCGTCACCAGCTGCATATAATAAAGAGAAATCAAATATAGATTTGTTAAGAGAATAACATTATAAATCTGATCAATTCGAGATCGAAAACTTCGGCGATCTTTGTTATTTTCTTTTCCATAAGTAGAAAATGCTTCTGCTTTAACTAAGTAAGTCCAGATCATAAATTGATTAATCTTGATTGATTGATTGATTAAATTGATTTTATCTAATATCACATTTACCCACCAAATAACGCTGCTGATTGTAAATTGTTGATGGTCGTTTCAAAGAGTTCTCTAAAATAACACGTAAGTTATCCAGGAAGGGCGTGGTCTGCAAGCTACATACTAAATCAGGCAATGGTGCTCGCGCCAATGGGCGCACTGGAGGATCATTAACTTGTGTTGGACCATAGATTTCATGCATTTCAAATGTGCGCTTGCCATTCACCTCCGCACATGGGCCGGGTGTTATATGTCCCGGCCGTAGCACGATGTGATCGCCCCGTACAAGTAGGGCCCACGGCAGATTTACAATATTACCATCGCGATATGTCCACTGCAGCGACACGCAAGGCGAAATTGGACAACAAATATGCGGATAATTGCATGGTTGCCACTCGCCGCATAGATCACGTTCAGCGAGTCTTATATCGGCGAGTGCCTGGCGTGTCTTGCGGTAGATTTCGGTACGACGTAAATTGTTCTCGCGCACCACCACGCACAAATCCAATGATAAGATAGCCGCAACACAGATCGCAGCCAGATATGCGTCGGCGATAAGTAGCGCAATCATAGTGAATAGAGTGGCTGTGATTGCAGGCCATCCTAGTGGTGTGTCGCTGGGTTTGACGAATGCCGAACGCAGTTTGCGATAGAAGCTGCAATGAACAACAACAAGAAATTTTGGAAGCAATCCAAATATTATTAATAATTAAGTATGCTAACAGGCAAACAATATGCACACACATATATACATAAATAAATCTTGACTAGACTAAACACACGCGCGTATAGCATGTGTGTATATATGCATATAGTATACCCCTTGTACACTTACCTCTCCTTGGCATAGGTGGCTTCATGTTCACGCAACAACTTTTCTATATCATCATGCAGACGAGCTAGTGCAACTCTCGTGGTTAGGCCATAATTGGGGTTTTCCCGGGAAGCTCCTTCACCTAACGCATTTGCGTTTGTAGATACGGCCTTTCGTTGTGACTTCACAGACATCGTTGATAGAGTGGGTTTGGCCTAGAGTTTACATTGAGAACTGCTGCAAACTGGAATTCCAATTTTTGTTTATTTTGCTTTGGTCTTTGTCCTTTTTATCGGTCACAAATTCTACTTTAATTGCATTTTTCGGCGATTTACTCCAAACACAAATAAATTGCTAAAATTCGCGGATGAGAATAAAATCAAAAAGTCAACAAACAAAAATAACAAACGTCAAAAAACTGTCAGCTGTCAAACTCGCTGGAATTTTTCTGGAATGCCCTACCGGAAATCATTGGAATGCACTACCGGAAATCATAGGAATTTCACTACCGGAAGTAGAGGACAAATACCGCAGAGTTGCCGTAGTACATTATGGTAAAATTTTAGAAAAATGGTTTTCATTGTGAGTTTTCAAACGTAGAACGTAGAATGTAATTTTGACGCAGAAAAAAGTCTCACATCTGTTCCTGTACCTGTACATAGCTAGCTATTTCACCGCACCTAAATAAAATAGCGTCAGTTACCGCCCTATTCCAATGCCTCTGACAAAACTCATAGCATATCAATAACTCGAGGCCTTTCCGAACGTAAAACCGGCTCTCGCGCAAATGTGAAAACCATCTGAAACCCGAAAACCGGTTCTTCTGCCATACTTTACGGTTCTATTCCCGTACTAAATCCATTTCCAATACCTATACCTATCAATAATCTAAGTTTCTCTTTTGGAAGGCTGATTGGTTGTCGGAATCTCTTCATATTATAACCATTCAAAAAACTCTGTGCTTGAGCTTCGCTAATTAAGTTCACTCAGTGTGTTCCTCTTTTTTCTGAGCTCTTCCTAAGACTACTTTTACACAGTTCAAGTATTGAATTCAATTCTGCTCGCATGTGGAAGAGAGGGGGTGAGAAGAAAAGGGACGAGTAGACATGTGTCTGTACCGTCAAGTCGTTTCAACTTTCTTGCATTGCTTTTGGCATTTTCGTTGCTTCCCATTTAAAGAACCAAAAACTTGAATTCAACAGAATTGAAACGTGTAAAAGCAAATAGAAACCACAAAAGAGAATGAGCAAGAATTGCTTTCAAGTACTTGAATCATGTAAATCGGGTGTTAGTATTAGGAAGGGCTCCGGGTCAGTTGGTGTACAATTTACTGCCTCCCTTGCAAGACAATCTTCTACATCATTTTCCTCTATTCTATTTTGGCCTGGTACAAAGAATATCGAATATATTCCATGTTTCTTAACCTGGTACCCATGCTTAATGTGACCAACCGTACTTCTTTCGGAAGTACAGTACTTCGTACTTCGCAGTACAGTCAAAAGTATTCTTTGCAATATTTTGTACTTCAGGTTCTGAACTACTCCGATCTTCTGGACTATCGTCACATGGCCTGGTCGATAAATTCGTTCAATCCCTTCAAGTCGCCGGGAACCGACGGCATCATAACTACGCAGCTGCAAAGGGCTCTTCAGGTGTCAGGCAATTGGTTGGCTCCTATTTATATGAATTGTGTTAGGACCTGGTACATTCCCAAGGCTTGGAGGTGATCAGTGTTGCGTTCATTCCGAAGGCCGGAAAAGGCCCTCATGCTTCCCCTAGGGTTTTAGGCCTATTAATATGTCTTCGTTTTTGCTAGAAACGCTAGAGAGACTGATAGACCCAAATCCCAGCAAGACGAAACTGGCATTGTTTACCAGGAAGTGCAAGATATGCGTTGCGGCCCTTACCTCGAGTGGGGGTGTTCGTCTGCGGCTCTCAAGTACTTAGGGTTGATCCTGGATAGAAAGATGTCGTAGAAACCTAATACTGAGGATAGGGGTAAGAAAGGCGTCGGTTGCCTTTTACTGCTGTAGCGGAGCTATCGGTTAAAGGTAACATCTCTCCCCTGGAGTGTCTTCACGGACGGATCAAAACTTAGGGATAGGGTTGGTGGAGGTTTATTCTGCCGGAAACTCTCCACCAGAACTGTGTTCAGGCTTGCAGTGTCTTTCAGGTGGAAATAGCTGCCATCAAGGAAGCGATAGACTCACTGCTAAAGGGTGTGATGGTGCGCTGAAAATCGGTAAAGGCATGTCTGCCTTCTCTATCAATCGCGTCGGGGCACTTCTTAATAAGGCTTGTTTAGGTGTCGGGTCACAGTGACATCGCCGGAAACTGCGTGGCTTATGACCTGGAGTTTGATAGGCACACTTAAACGTTATCTCCAGATAAGGATCAACTAGGGACGCCTCTGCCCTCCTGTGGTAAACTCTTGGATGGTTGGGCCTTTTTCTCTCTCGGCGAGCGCTAGACTAACACGCATACTTCGTACTCGCGATAATGAAATTGCATACTCTACTAAATATTTAACAAAATGGAAAAAAGAAAGCGATGATCTTTTTGTGACAAAAAAAAAGAAAGAAGACGTTTCTCTGCGACATAACTTGTTTTTATAAGGCAGTTTAACATACTTTAGCACCGCAAGGTACGAATGTACCATCGTTACCCCTTAACCCTCTAGTAGGCCAATTTTTTTATGAGTTGAAAAATTCAGGTATGAGTGATTTTAGCACGAGAAATTCAAAACTGATGTCCATTTCGATCTGTGACAGTAACTTTTTCCTACAGGGGAGAAAACCCAAGACCGTCTGGAGACGGGTTCGCCGATATACCGACACATATTTTCAGCTTTCTCTTACACAATGTTGACCTACGAACCGGCAATGCCGTCTGCAGACGGTCAAAAATGCAAAACTGGGGTTTTATATGTCGGCAAGCCGGTCTGTAGACGGTCTGTGTGCACCATTTCGAATGGTGACATAATTATAAAACTTATATTAAAATACGGTGCTTTTAACAACGAAATCCACCGAATTTTTTTATATCAAAAAATTTGAAAAAAGAAAAAATTTCTTTAATTACGAAATTACTAAATAGCAAGAAATAATTAATTTTAACCGTGTTTTCAAAATCTGTAATTCAACTGCCGATTAAAATAAAACGGATTGACATAACGGATTAAAAGTTACTTCGCCGTAAGGGTACGATTTTTATCTAAAGATCGTGGCTTACGAATATACAAAAAAATTTTTATAGATGCACTAAAAAGGTGTTTAGTTCACGACCGTCTGGAGGCGGTTCTGCCTACTAGAGGGTTAAAGGTGCCGAAAAACATGTTAGCTCTGAAGGGCTAGTGATGGGGTTCTGACAGGCTATTGTGCACTTCCTATTCACGCGGTAATTTCAACTGATCCCTTTTGTATCAGCTGGCAAGAGGAATATGAGGTGGAATCGTCTCCACACTTTCTTTTAGACTGTCCAACCTTCGCGAGGCTAAGATGGAAGTATCTTAGCTCGCACTTCTTAACTAATACTGAGCTCTCAGGAATCGAAAACAGCCGCCTGTATAATAATACAGGATGCCAGCCTGGATGAGCCCCTCGAAGGAAGAGATGTTCCAGTTTGATTTGTGGCATAATTCTATTTTATATTCATTTCAAATACGACAGTTTTCCTATGCCATCTCTTGGAAATGATGCTGGCACGTTTGACGATCCCAACATCTCCACCTTTCCGTTCCCGAATCTAACTAAGCTTAGTTGCACAATGAAAACAAAAATAAAAACACTTAATTAAAACAAACGGATTTACAACACCTTAACTTCTTTAGGATTTTTCACTCTGTTCTAGGTTACCGATGTTAAATCCACCTTAAGAAGCAATATTCTGAATTCAGAATTACGCCAGGTTTAATCACTACTTTATAACTTCTCTTCCAGTTCTCTCTATGCTAAACTTGCTAAGAGAGAGTTTTTATTTGAGGCCACGAACACCTGTCGACTTAAAGATCGGCTTTCAACAATAAAAGAGGAGCTTCCATTGGTGTTTCTCATACAAATTTCATTCCTCCGGGGATAGTCTCTCAATCTTTGTCGTCAACCGCAAATAACGGGAGGCCCGGGAAGCGTCCAGCTTTTATGGTGTTTGTCCATAGGGACAGAGGCATTAACTGAGTAGGGTTTAGTGGGCATGCTTCCAGTCGTGTTGTGTCCCTCCGCATGCCAGGCACTTATTGGACACATCTGCATCTAATCTGCACAGGTACGAGTTTAAACTGCTGCAGTAGCCAGAGCGAAGTTGGGCTATTGTAGTCCGAGTCTCCCGAGGCAGACAAAGCTCTTTCTCGTCCACGTCAGGTGGTTGTGTTACCAAACCAGCATTCACAGGTCGAGAGTCAATGTAGATCGAGGTTGCTTTATGAACCTCTGGACTTAGTCCGCCAGTTCGTATAGATGCCTTATGACGCGCCTTGGGTGCTCACGGTCGGTGACACCCTACTAGGAATTGCTTGCAGCACATTTGAGCCTCGTCGTGTAGATGATGTTGTGGCGACATCAGAAGGCATTAGGTCGCTGACCGGAGTACCGTGTTTTGTTAGGTCTGCAGCTTCGTTCACTGCGTCCTTCTAGTCCGCGGCAACCACGGCGGCCAACCAATTGCCTTGTATGTTGCCAGCAACGTTTCGTTGTCTTTGTTCCAGATGTTGCCGGATAGCAACTTGAGGACCTTGTTGAGCCGCTCTATTCATTAAAATCCTAATTTACACTGCTCGTTTATTGAAATCTTTGAGCATTAGCAACTCTAAATTACTCCACTTTTCAGGTCAACACAAGTGGCTACTATAGTACATACATATTTATACTACAAAGAGCTGCTTTGATAGGGTAATGCATATGTACTTCCGGCATTGGCTAAGTTTCCTTCCTGTCATCGGTTAACGATGTGAATATATTTGTGTATGTGTGTATGTGCAAAGAGTAGGATAATTATTTTATGACATACAAATGTACATACATAAAATAATACGGCGAATTCACACATCTACAACAAGAGCGCCTGAGCTTTTGATTACAACACCACATACCTTGTAACAAGAACATAACTGTTGTTGTTCTAAAAAATCAGGATACTTGCCAAGCATACAAAACAAAGCGATAAAGGCATAAATTATTGAAATCTCACAGGGCAATCACAACGAAAATGCGCACTAACTTTCACGCTCTCTCTCTCTCTCTCTCGTAGGTACTCTCTATTCCCATTTTAGCAGTGTACTTGAATCCTGAATCCTGTTCGGTATATTTATTTTTCCCACAAATTGTACATACAATCTGCGAATATGTACTTTTGCATATTTGAGAGCTCGTACTCGTATACCCAGCAATAG